CACGCAGCCCTGACTGGTGCGCCGCCTGCCGGGAGGCTCCGCGCCGCTCCAGTCGTCTGGGAGGGAAGGACGCAGACTGCCCTGCCGGGCTTGCTGCAGGGCACTCCCGTCCTCCGCCCCCTACAGGGTGGCCGGAGCGGCACAACAAACAAACAAACAAAAAACGTGGCCGTGCCGCCCTAGGATTGGGTGGAATGCCGCCTCGAACAATCTGCTGCCCCAAGCATCAGCTTGCTCGGCTGGTGCCTGGAGCCGGCCCTGTCTGTGACTTTTTTGTTTCTGCTATTGAACCCAGAGATGTTTCAAAATCAGAAGTATTTAAAATATTTATTAGTATTAATCACTGAAGGTTAAATAAAAACAAAACTACGTTTTAGGCAAAAATCTTATTAGATATTATACAATTAATGTGTAAACAGAAGATAAAGTATTAACAGATTGCAGCATCCCATACATGCAGCGAGTGGGTCCAGCCCAGTCAAAGCCCTTACATAAACAAACAGAGTGATAGTACTTAGCACACAACTTTACACTGACATTTGGTCACTGGATCTGGTTTAAATAATGAAGGGTAGGATAGTAACATATATAATCAAGGTCTGATTACGAATCAGAGCGCTTTCATGTACAAGCTATCTAGTCATGATAATTACCACGTACACTGGAGAGCAACATAAAATCGGGAAATAATTATAGGTAGTTTTTGTTATTAAATAATGCAGACCTAAGTTATGATGCAGCACTTCAAACTGACCTGTTGTACCACGAATAAAAATAATCAGCTAATTAATCTCGTTTTTGAGGGTATGACTTTTGTACCTACTGGTGCCAGTTAATGGATCATAATTGGTTCTCCAGATTTCCTTGTCCGGCGTGGCAAACTTATATTCAGTAATATGCCATTTAATGCTTTAAAATGGCAAGTCAACAATGTACCTACATATAACTCCCTCTTATTGCTACCTTCTATCTTCAACCTTAAATTCAGAAAGGTGAAATGATCACTAATGAAATACATACTTACAGAATACAATATGCCGTATATGTGAACCAGATATAGCAGTGAAAAAAGTACTATGTGTCACTATAACAAAATATAAAACTATATTTATATATCTACACATACACACAGCATATATGGAAACTATTCCTTAATACAATTTTTCTAAAGTACTGTAACTAATTCATGACATACCAGAAAACATGCCACCTGCAACTGGATGGTCACAGTCTTGAGCTATGGTGCATACAAAAATTCCATATAACATATTCAAATTGCAGCTTATGCTTTAGCCCAGCTACTGGCTATCCTGCTGAAACCAATCTCTTGACAAGTCCAGTCTAGCTGGCTCACACAGAAGTGCTGCATTATTATTAGAGCAGATTAGTGATAGATTCAGATCTTCTGTATAGTAGCTTTTTTTGTTTTTAAACCAGCCAGTTTTTTAAACAACAGTTGGTAAGAATTACAGTTGGCGTTGAGACTTATTGCTCTGAGTTAATTTTTGGTATTCTGTAATTTTTCCAAGTATTTAAAAAGAACGGCAACATTTCACAAACAAAAAGGGCAACCACAAAAAGCTAACATCATGATTTATCAAACACATACGCTCCTAAACCAAGCCATAACCTCATTCCAAAATACAGAATAAAGCAACATTTCAAGACTGAAAAAACACTGGCTGTGAGGAATAACGGAGGCTATTCTTGCATCCAAAAAACCATAGGTACACTGTATACTACAGTGACCTGTTATTCTCTCATCTCTGCCTTCATACTGAAACTGACCACAGCCCAAATTCTGAAACAGTATTCATTCAAAACTTTTATTGACTTAACAGTTTTGACTGAATAAAAACAGAATAAGGACTTCAGGATTTGGCCCCCTGAAATGTAAAAATATCTAATGTAAACCTACTTTGGAAATACTAGAATTTTGCAAGTCTGTATCAGCCAGAAAGTTGTCTCTACAATTTCTAATTTCAAACTATTTAACATAAGAAGACTCAGATCTGTTTCTGATCCATATATAACTCAATGCTAGCTGTGAAAGCTGGTTACGCACTTTAATACAAAATCTATACCACACAGATTGGCATCGTTTGCCAGTTCTTATTTAAATCTGAGATTACAAGGCAACTGCAGAATTACCTGAAGCTTGCAGCCATCTCGAGCAGATTTTAATGGGTTTGAGATGTCACGTGAAAATGAAGTTGGCCACATTTAGGTTTATGAAAACAAGTTAAAAATCAGTTTTATGCATGACTAATATAGCACAAAACCTATAAACATTTTATTAAAAAATGCTTTATGCTTAGTAAGCGGAGCTGCCTGTAGCAAGATGAACATTAGTCCCTTAAGTAATATTAATTTGTGTTGTTGATCAGTTCAGTATTTCTTTAGCCCAGTAAATAAGTTAGCACTACAATGACTAAGGGCCTGATCCAAGTCCCACTGAAGTCAATGGAAAGATTCCCATTGACTTCAATCAGGTTTGGATCAAGCCCTAAATAATCAATACTATCCTACCACCACATTAACTCGGTAGCAGAGCCAAGCTTTAAGCAGGGGTGGAGCTAGGGAGTCACTAGTGGTGCTACTTTCAATTATTCCCGTTGGCTTTAAAAGGTGGCACACATACACCTAAAAGCTACTTCGGGGTAGCAGTCACCCGCCCTCCCCCAGACTGCACTGCATTGACTCACAACAAAACAGTAAGAATCTGTTTTTCTTTATAAGTATGTAGGTCCAGCTACATCCTGCTGGTAAATGATATATATTCTCTCTCCTTAGTTGGAAATAATTTTTCTCTTGTGTTTACTTTTCAAATAACTCCTCCACTGTTGTATAACAAATGTGCTAAAAGCAAAAATGTATCATGTTGTAGGATGAATTTGGCTTTTAATTTCATAATTTAAATTTCTTACTCTGCTTTAGCTCATCATTAAATTTAGTGGAGAAGAGAAAAAAATAATTTATCTACTCTATCAATCACAGAACCAAAGCATTACAGATGGAACAGACCAACAGTTTTAGGTCATCTAGTCCATAACTCCAAATACTGGATTTTTCTCTGCACTGTGTTTTCTCGTGCTTTGTTTAATCTAGTTTTAAATGTCTCAAGGAACGAGTGTTCCATACCACTTCCAAACCACCTGGGGAGACAATTCCACAATTGAACACACTGCACCTTTAGAAAAATCTACATAATTTCTTTTCTTAATTTCATGCCCATGACCTCAGACTATACCGTACTCCCTTATACCACTTTAGCAGCAGGTGGCAGGATTCATCCATTGACAGAACCCTGGAGGGAGACAAGAATGGATTTTTGCTGACTCATTGTGGCAGGTGTGACTCCATCTTGGAAATGAGGGAGGTGGGATGCCTCTTTGGGCAGAGGGCATGGTGGCTTAGGGCAGTGACGTATCTGCAGGAAATCGTAGCAACAGACAGGCTTAGGTTGGTGTTTGCATTTTGTTGCAATTTGTTATTAATAAGCCCTAAGTCCTGGAAAGTGAGTACATTTTGACTAAATGTACTGGGTGGGGTGTAGATTCTTTCTGGACCAGAATGGGAGCTCCATCTGCTTACAACCACCCTAAACAATTCCTCTTCCTCCGTGGAAATTTCATCCTTCAGGTACATGCAGATAGCAGAAAGTATGTCTCTCAGTTGACATTTCGCCAGGCTATCCATCACATGTTGGGCCAAATTCTGTCCTGATTCACAACTTGTAAAAACTGGGCTCTCTCTCTCATGTTGGATCCATTTTTCTAGTTCCCGACTTCAATCCATTTCTTGATGATGGTTGATCAAATCATCTGCCAAAACTACAGCTCTAGAAAAGTCACAGAAAAGGAGCCTGGCTAAAAGCAAAGGCAGAGAAGTATGCAGCCCAAAGTTCAGGTTTTAAATTATATGCACTATATTGCTTAAGATTAATTTAAAACACATTGAGTCTACTCTCATGTAAGAGGAGAGATTTTACAGCAAATCTAAAATTTCTATGTAAAAAGCCATTTTATTTAAAAAAAATTATCAGTCATTGGTTTAAACAGAGAATTGGAGTAATTTGACTCAGGAATTTTGGCAGGATTCTAGGGAGGATTTTCCATCTAGGTTTTGCAAAATCCTTTCTGCTTATGATCCTTGCATTTTTATTGACACACAGTATTGAAATTATTGCTTTCAAGGCAAGGTGCCATGCCACTGAGGTTGTGAAGCCCTTTGCTCAATGAATAAGCAAATGGTGTTTTATTTTATTTTTTTCAAGTAAATCAAAACAGGCCATTTTGGGTCAGCAGCACCGTCTAGTGGTCTGTGTAGTCTGCTTTCCAAGTTTGATTGCTCCATTGTTGCCATTTTCATGAGAGTCCAAGGGTGGAATTTGTCGACCTGAAATATATGAAGAAAATACTGAATTCAATATTCTGCTGTAGCAAAACACACAGAGATATTAGTAAAGAATTACTTAGTTTGCACTAAAACTATGTAAGTCAGATTTGAATGTGAAACAACTGTTTTCCATGTAGCTTGTACTTTGTTTCTCCAGTTTATAACTTGGTAAGTAAAAGGAGGCTTTGTCCCATTTTTAAATATATATACTGATTGTCAGTTGGTGACATTTAGAACATAAGAACATAAGAACAGCCATACAGGGTCAGACCAAAGGTCCATCTAACCCAGTATCCTGTCTTCTGACAGTGGCCAATGCCAGATGCCCCAGAGGGAATGAACAGAACAGGTAATCATCAAGTGATCCATCCCGTCGCCCATTCCCAGCTTCTGGCAAACAGAGGCTAGGGATACCATCCCTGCCCATCCTGGCTAATGGCCATTGATGGTCCTATCTTCCATGAATTTATCTACTTCTTTTTTCAACTATGTTATAGTCTTGGCCTTCACAACATCCTCTGGCAAGGAGTTCCACAGGTTGACTGTGGGTTGTGTGAAAAAATACTTCCTTTTGTTTGTTTTAAACCTGCTGCCTATTAATTTCACTTGGTGGCCCCTAGTTCTTGTGTTATGAGAAGGAGTAAATAACACTTCCTTATTTACTTTCTTCACACCAGTCATGATTTTATAGACCTCTATCATATCCCCCCTTAGTCGTCTCTTTTCCAAGCTGAAAAGTCTGTCTTTTAAATCTCTCCTCAAACGGCAGCCATTCCATACCCCTAATAATTTTTGTTGCCCTTTTCTGAACCTTTTCCAAGTCCAATATATCTTTTTTGAGATGGGGCGACCACATCTGCACGCAGTATTCAAGATGTGGGCGTACCATGCATTTATATAGAGGCAAGCATTTGTAACACTGAAATTGTTAAACATTTACTTCAATGAGGAAAGATATTTTATTAATAACTTGTAAGACTATTAAAAGGCACAGGTTCTGTTATCTCTCCCACTTGAACACAAATGGTCCTAGTTTAGCAAGAGTTTAAATCATCTACGTTTTCAGTGCATACGTTTATTGTACCCCAGAGCTCTCCAAAGCACAAAAGCATTGTAAACAAGCAAACATGAACCATAAATGGAAAGGTGAAACAAAACCATTCTTTTAATTGAATCCCTCCCTCTGTTTCTTGGTCCCCTCAGCTCCCCAGCAGATGGTTTTGCTTGTCTAATAAGCCCAGGCTCCCGATTCTTATTTAAACTTATTTGAATTTAACAACAACAAAAGTTTCAGCCCTAACTGGGGTTCTAATGCAAGGCAAGGGCCTGCTGCTTTAGGTCTCCCTGTATGCCGCTTCAATTCTGCTATCACTTCTGTTTCATCGACCAGATACATACGGGTGACACAGAATATGCCCATTAAATATGCTGCAACTAGCAAGCCTGGTCATTCAATGCAGGCATATTAGGAGTGACTCGTGTGAAAACTAGGGTCTAGAATTAGGGAAAGTAAGAACCTGCTGGCTCTCATGGTAGCAGGTAAGAATGTTACATGAATGAGTTTGGCCAGTGTATGGTGGCACTGAGGATGGTATTCCAGGTGTTATAAAAAGAAGAACTTAATATTTGAAAAAGGCTTCCCAAGAGGGAGATGATGACGACCTTTTGGAAACATGGAGAAAAACTACTGCACTGAGTTCATGATGTTTCTAAAGTATTTGAACTTGGTTCCAGTTGACTCTGGAGCCCTGCCAGTTTTTCTGGGAGCCTAATCCAGTTAAGAATGTTGGAATGTGTAAACTTAATTTCCATAATATACCATTAAGCAAATGTTTTCTCAATGTTTGGATCTTTGAACAAGAAGTTTGAAGAGGAGAGTGTAGATGTGCAAGTTCATTTAGAGACTGTTTCAGAAATCCACTGTAAACATTTTATTATGTTAGTTCTAACTATTTTTCAGCCCAAGCTTCACAGTACTAGTGAGTTTAAAACTGTGAGTATTCTGAACTATCACAACCAATAAGAAGCCATTGGAGGAGACTATTGCAGGCTTCACCAAAGTCAGCAATTATTTTGTCTGGTTCAGAATAGGACACAATACTCCAAGCTGTGAATTGCCTTTATTTTATTATTGGATTTTCATACCAATATAAAATACAATAACAATTGGAAATAATACAAAAAAGATACATGCTGCGATTGGTGCTGTAATAAATTGAAGTGCAGTAAGTAGAGTAACTTTATGGAGAATGTATGTTGTTGTTGTTCTGTTAATTCAATAAAAGGCAACAAAGTTTCAAACTCCTTTTCAGTCTTGTGATTTTGATTTTTTTTGGTATGCAACTTTTCTCATCATCATTATTGCCAAGATTTTGTTAAATCAAGATGATACTGTTGAACTAAATATTTTTAATCTTATATAGAAACTTGCCTCTGCTCAAGGGACTCCTAGGATCTGATTGAGTTATCACGAGTAACAACGTTGAAGTCAATTGAGTTACACTAGTATAAAATTCAATGTAATGAGATAGAATCAATCTCACAATGTGAGCAACAAACTGAGGTCAGTCTCTTCTAGTATTCAGGGTATGGAGCAACAGTGTTCATCTGAGAAAACGTCTCTCCATTATAAAATAGATGAGCTGGAGAATATGATTAGAGTCTGAAATCTGTTTGGCTGCCTTTAGAGAGAAAATAAGATATTTGGGCTCATAGCATTGTCTATTTCAGAACTCTTCAGTTGGTAATCTCATAGCAGAGGCAGTAACACATAAAGAATGTTTTAGAGAGCTGGCAAAAAGATCCAGATGATTAGTAGGGGAAAGATGAGCCTTAGCTTCAAATCCAAGTCAGTGGTGACCACAAGTTTTAACTATATGAAAGATTTTTGGTAGTCTCCGTTCATTTCTTAATAGGCATAGTGTCCATATCACAAAACCCCAATTGGATCTAGTTGGCATACACTAAGAAGGATCAGCAGAGAAATCAAGAACTGAATTGGTTTACAGAATAAATTACTCTCTCATCTGTTTAGGTTGCCCCTCCAGAACAGGGGTGAAGCACATTACATGTGTTGGGAAGCCTAAATTGATGCCATCTATGCTATAGATGTTCTGTAGATAATGTTAAGAGAGCTATGTTCTGGACTATCAATCTAGTCACTAGTCTCATGGACAAATACATTCACTGAAACAGTTTTTAAAAATGACTAATTACCATCAAACCAGGACTGCCCTGCTTGGTAATTTCTGTTCACAATATACCATCAGAAGAGATGGAACTGTTCTGTTCCTTAAACAGAAATATTAATCCAGACCACAGACCTGGTCTCCTCTCCAGGTTTCGTAGAGAAGAATACATATTACCATGATGTAACCAATTGGCTGGAGCAAATAGATATAATGCTTTAGGAGTCCAGATGAAACGTACAGGTTCACAGAGAAGAAGAAATATAAATGCATTTGTCCAAGAATTCTTTGAGTTGGAACTGGAGAAATCTGGAACTCTTGTGTGCTTCTACTGGAGTGATCCAATCAACCTTAGCTTTTCTGTAGTTCACATCACTGCCATTTCTAAGTGCTCTGCTTTAAAAGTAGGTTTTGTCATTTTAATTACTGGAATATTTGGTTTATCTTTGCTAGTGTTTAGAGGATTTTTTTATATGTGGAGAAGAAGTACAGATAAAAAAGCCTTCACACAAACAGCTTTATTTCATTTTTTATTGTATACACTCAGGCTGGTTTATAAACATGCACTTCTAGACACTGATGCCTGAGTCTTGAGATCCTCAAGTGGGCACGGCTTAGTGCATGAAAAACTGAGGCAAACAAAGATAGTTCAGGGGCAGGAATGTTGACACAGTCAAGCCTCTGATGTGTAACTCCTCGGTTTGGCAAAAATGGAGCATCAAATCAACTGTATTCCACTCTCAAGTGTGCTTGAATTGGGCTGGGACTGCCCAGAATGACAGTCCAGGGCCTACTCTGATAGCATTCTGACTTCTACTCCTACAAACTAACAGCGTGAAGAGCCAGCATTCTGGGAGCCTAAGTTCAGAGGCTGTCAATGTGAGGGTGCAAGAAGCAAGAGTTGGGGGAATTAGGAGCTGGGAGGAGGGAAAGTGAAATGGTGTAGAAAGGAAAGAAACACAGTAGAACCTCAGAGTTACGAATACCTCGGGAATGGAGGCTGTTCGTAACTCTGAAATGTTTGTGTCTCTGAACAAAACGTTATGGTTGTTTTTTCAAAAGTTTACATCAGAACATTGACTTAACACAACTTTGAAACTTTACTATGCAGAAGAAAATTCTGCTTTCCCTTTATTTTTGTAGTAGTTTATGCTTAACACAGTACTGTACTGTGTGTGCTTTTTTTTTTTCCGGTCTTTTTTTGTCTCTGCTGCTGCTGCCTGATTGCATACTTCCGGTTCCAAATGAGCTGTGTGGTTGCCTGGCCAGTTCCTAACTCCAGTTCTACTGTATAGGGCAGGGAACAAGAGGGAGAGAACATGGACTGGGGGACAGCAAAAGGGCCTGGGACACAGAGAAAGGGTCCCCTTTGGAGGGAGCAGCTGCATGAGTCAAATCAGTTCCCAAAGATGCTCTGTAGACCTAATAAAGTTCCTTTTTGAATCTGATACTCAGTTGTAAACATTATTACAGTATCAGCACCAGTGTTACCTAAATAATAATACATGTAAGTTTTAAAAAATACTAAAACACAGAAATTTAAGAATGAGGCTGTCCAGAGAATTATCTACGGTTCTGCTCTTGCAAAATAAGCCCAGTAATTAGCTCCAAGTATAAATCCCTGGGTATTTGTAATAAGATTATAGATTGTAACATGGGACTGTGCAAGACTCTGTCTGTGAAAGGCTGAAAGGTCCTTACAGTTCAATTTAAGGAAAAAAGGTTTACATCCTTGCAAAGACACGAGAACAACAGCTATTACTTCAGACAACCCATGTGTTAAACATAGGCCCTAAAATTATGGATTTTCATCAGAGTCTTGGATATAAACTGTTACAGTTCTTTTACACAGAACAAAATACTAAATATTTTTTTGTTCACACCTGTTCTGGTTCTTCCATTGTGGTCTATTGTGTTTCCTGCTCCTACTGTATTTTTTGAAATTCATAGGGTTTGGGTTTTTATTAAGTTATTGAGCATTCCTCACTCCTGATTTGTGCGGCCTCTACTCTAGTTTTGTGTCTTTGTACATAGCTGGTTTAGTTGACATAAATGTGTGCATGTTTTTTTGTGGGAGTTTTTATAGCTCACCTCCCTTGTACCGCCTTTACAGAAACACTATGGTTTGAATGGTTTGTTCTGTTTAATAATGCGTTTCGGTGAGTGATTTCCCCCGCACATGATGCAGGAAAATGGGCTGTGCACTGAAAATGTGCAGAGACAGACAGAATTCTCCCAGCTAGGCTGCAGAATAGATATGACACTGCTGTTGCAGGTTACGGCTACATGACTGCTGTGCAGGACTCAAGTGGGGCCAGAATCCTTTGGAAGGCTGGTTCCAGCACTTTTTAATGGCATTGCAATATTTCTGATTGCACTTCCAATACTTTCTGACACTTCTTCTTTTAGGACTGGAGCACTGCTGCTGTGGCCCACCTCAATGGGGAAATTTAGAAGTTGTACCCCTGCGGTAGCAGGTACAATGACTAAAGTCATCTCCTTAAATAGCAAGTCTGCACTAGAGGCAGGTACAAAGCACAGCTCCGTGGGAGGGAGTAAGGACCCCATGCATAGGTTCATTGTGTTCCCCCATTTAGCTGAAACACACAAGTTCAATAAGGACAACCATGGGAGGAAGGAGTGGGCAAAGAGAGGGGTCATAAAACATGTGTGTCATGGCCAGGTCCTGGGCAGCCAGACCTAGTAGTCAGAGCCAGGGCCCACAGCCATGAGACAGGAGTTGACTAGGTAAGGATACCAAGAGGACAGAGGCAGAAGACAAACTGGAGATCAGAATCACAAGTCGGGAATAAGAGTCAGGCTAGGTCAGGATGCCAGACAGTCAGAGGCAGGAGCCACACTGGACACCAGGAACCACAAATCAAATGCCAGGAAATCAAGGCACAGGAGCAGGGTGGAGCCCAATTGTTCAAACAGCTTCCTGCTCCTGCTGCTGGCTTAAGTAGGGCCAGTGGGCCAATCAGCCACTCTGGGTCACCACCAATTGGACATCAGGGGCAGAACCTCACACTGGGGCTAGACTTCATGGGTCACAGGTAAGCCCTTATCAGCAGGCTGCCAGGTGGAGGGTTGGAGGGTAGTTGTTCCCATGAATCCTGCAGGCTGGGTTTGAGATCTGTAGGCCATGACAATAGGTGTTTTATCCAACAGTTTTAGCATGTTATTTATGGCAATTTACCATCTTTTGTTGTGTTCACATATATATGCGCTATCGATTCCACATCCAAATACTACAAACCTACAAACTTTCTCCTTTCTCTCTTCTGAGTTCTGGTAGGGTCACAAGTATGTCCACTGAGACAATCTTTCTATGTATCCAAAAGATTATCTAGGATATTTAATGCATATGCTTGGGTAATTAGTGCATGTTAATTTCAGTTTAATTGATTTTCCATGTCAAATATAGCCGTTATTAGGGAGTTGTCATTGCTACCCGCTGTAGCATTACCTATCAAAGGGATAAACTAATTATTAATGATTAAATTATAGAACATGGGTGAGTTTTTGTATTAGTACGTTCATACATACTGATAGGTTATATTGGACATAGACAATCAAGCAAACTAAACTGGGTAAGGGACTGGTTCTCCAAACCAGATGAATTACAAGATCTGTAACCTTCTGAAAGGTATAACAGGCAAAAATAATCAATTAACATTTTCAGATACATCCTGTTCAAGTGAAATGATTGGTCAATAACTTCTCAGCAATGTGTAGCAGACGGTGTGATTTTCTAGGAGCAAAGAAACATTTCACACATCTATTTATAATATACTGAGTTTGTGAGAAAAAAGGAAGCGTCATAAAGCAGTAGAGAGAGACAAGGTGGGGTAGAATATGCTTTATACTCTGTTTTTATTCAGGAGCTGATGACACTGGAATTCTTGGAATGAAAAATTAGTATGGGGTGTTCCCCTTTCCTTTCTCGCAATGTTGATTTCTTCCCCTTTAACAATCCTGGGGAGAAAACTTGTGCTGGATCCCAATGAAAAGTGACTATTTCAACTTATCCTAGTTATCCAGGAATATGCCTCCACATAAAAAACCACAACAAAATGACAATTAGATCAACAGTTACCTGCCCTACAGCGATTTATGCATGGAGGAATGATAGAGGTTAGGATTTAGATACACTGAAAGAACTACATGGGAGATGCTTACATAGCACCTACTCAAGCTATGCCCTATTCTAATCTAGTCAAAGTTATTGTTAGTTGTGACGATGGCCAGAAAGGGTTAAACATCCTGCTGAATAAATGACTCAAATTCAACCCTTAAAGACATGTGAGGGGATAACGTTTGTGTTTTTGTGTATTTACATATATATGGGCAGTGGTCAACAATGTAATCAACAGTCCCTGTCTATGCTATTCTGATAATTCAAAGATCAAAAGAACATCCTCGCATTTAAATGAAGTGAAAGCACGGGGATATCTCTGTATTCATCTCTCTTTGAAATGTATAGCAAATCATCAGTGAATGGTGGAGGAACAGATTGTCTTATGTTAATTCATATAGCTAAGTACTGGTGATAGACTGCCTGAGGATAAATTGCCTTATGTTAATCTTTGTGAATAACTAACAAGGATGCTTAGGAAATAAGAGACTATTGTTCCCCGAAGGATTCCAACTTGTCAAAGAAGACCTGAAATTGTATAAGAGATCCTTGGGACCTGATCCTTTTAATCTCAGATCTGCTTAAGCGTCATCAGGGGAAGTCTGAGTCGCAAGATGAGATCCCAGTTAAGCTGGTACACCCTGGATATGATATTGGACATTGGATTATAACCTATTAACTAAATTCTAAAGGAACTCTTTGCAACTACAAAGCTCACCATCTCTGCTATGTATCTAAACCTCAAGAATTGAACTCATGTCTGTATGTATATTGATCTTTTAACCATACTCTCTCCCATTTCTTTTTTAATAAATGTTAGTTTAGTTAATAAGAATTGGCTGTAGTGTGTATTTGGGTGAGATCTGGAATATTCATTAACCTGGGAGGTAATGTGTCTGATTCTTTGGGATTTGTAGAACCTTTTCTTTTATATGATGAAGTTTGTTTTTTTCAGAAATCTTCATCATATTTGACTTGGGTACCTGAATGGAGTCCTGAGGCTGAGTTACTTTAAGGGAACTGTGTTGTTGGTTTCTGGACAACCAGTGAGGTAATAAAGAAGCTGTTTTATGCTGGCTTGGTAAATTTAAGTATTGAAAATATCCACCAGTTTTGGGGATTATCTGCCCCATTCTTTGCAGTTCACCCTAATTGAGTGACTTCAGCTGGCCCCCACTGCGGCCCCGGTCACATTAGTTCTATATTTTCATAAGCTGTGGACACACTACTGCCTCAGGTGTTTTCCTCTTCATGGAGAAATAAATTTTTGCATGCAGTATGGCTGATCATTTTCAAAAGGACTCCAAACAACATCCACAAGAAACCTGTAAATGTACTTACTGATGCCTTGAAAGAGTTCCTCAATGTTAATAGCATTCTTTGCACTGGTTTCAACAACAATTGCACCTATAGATTCTGCATATTCTTTGGCATCCTTCATAGGTACCTCCCTAAAAAAACATTTTGGAAAGCAAACAAATTACTGTGTATTTATAAAAAAACAAATATTCTGAAAGACATCTCAAGTCACATTGTTCCTAGTTTCAATTGCATAAGTTTGGATCTTCTCCTGGTGCTGACATTCCTTGCTTCTCAAATGATAAATATTTAAGAGTCTCAGTCCTGCTTCCACTGAAGTCCATGTGAATTTTGCCATGTAATTTAGTATGAGCAAACCCAAGATATAAAAGCACATTAAATCTTTTGCAAAATATTTCACAACAAAGGTCTTGATTCCCTTATATGTGGTGATTTAGTCTCAAAATCATAATCCTTTGTTTCCTTCCACATTCCTGTCTCTCAAAGAGCTATCCCCACTTTTCTTATACACCTCTACCCCTATATAACGCTGTCCTCGGGAGCCAAAAATCTTACCACATTATAGGTGAAACCGCGTTATATCGAACTTGCTTTGATCCGCCGGAGTGCGCAGCCCCGCCCCCCTGGAGCGCTGCTTTACCGCGTTATATCCGAATTCATGTTATATCGGGTCGCGTTATATCGGGGTAGAGGTATATTCAGGTGGGATTATGAGCCAGCTGCCTATGTCACAGAATAATCAACTTAACCTTTTCCCACCGAAACACAACTAAAAGGATGGGGGTGTTTCAGGCAAATAGTACCAGCCTATTACAATCATATAGATTGCAGAAATTTAAAACTTCTCACAAAGCATAAAAAAAATACTAAACACAGCCTAGATAGAAATTATTTAACATGTTTTGATTCTATAAAAAATAAAGAATACTTTTGGTGGTGGTGGAGGTTTCTATCTAGTTGTTCACGTTCAAATATTAAGATATCAATCTGGGTTGTTGATAAGGATTTTGGGGCCTGGTGCCAAGACCAAGTTTTGAAAACTAATAGACCTTAAGGTCAGAAGGGACCATCATGATCATCTAGTCTGACCTCCTGCACATGGCACACCACCAAACCTCACCCACCCACAGAAAAAAAATGATCTTTAACTGCTATCAACCTTCCCCCCCCCGCCACCCCACTTGACAAAGATGCATGAGAAGAGATGCATAAAACATTAGAGAAAGAGCATCCTGCTCTGGAGATTCAGCCCATAAACAGGACTGTCCAAAGTGAACACACAAACAGGATGGTTTTTGGTTATTATAAATGAAGTTGGATTGAAAAGATCCCATGTTTAGCTGTTTATAAGTGGCAGGAGACTGTGGCTGATTCCAACAGAAACACGCAAGCCACTGATTCCAAACCACATTGGAAACAAGAATCTTAGGGCCAGATTCTCCAGTCCACAAAGGTTAGTTTGTGCCACATAAATGGTGCAAAGAGGCCTTAAAACAGCTGGTGACAGCCAGTGGAGAATTCCCCTTGTGTAGGGAACTCTCCACTTGTGGAAAGCTGGTGGATGCAGCTCTACCTTCTCCTATGCCAGCTCCCCCAGTCATGGTGTATGGGGAGAGAGCATGGAGGAGAGGATGCTCCACTACGCTTGATTCTACACTGACATAAGATCTGTCAGTTCCTTCTTTCTACAATGACAAATTGGGTGTCAGTATTGCGACGACTTTACTTTGACCAAAATATGAGAGCTTGTTCCTCAAGCAATTTATTCTAAGCCGAGAGGTGAGTAAACATAAACTAACGATATTAATAGTGGGAGAAAGAGCCAAGAGACGAGCAGAGACTTAAAAGGGAGTTGAGAAGGTTTGGATTTAGGAGCCCTGGAGAGAGAATACCTGTTTTGAAAGATGTTGACTAAACTGTTTGCAGTTAAAAAAACCTCAGCATATACAGTTTAAAGCTTCTACAAATATTTATTTAAATAGAAAATGTTTTGTATGGACAGCGTAAATAAAGGGCCTGAATGTAAAGCTTGGAATTTCCTGACCCTGCATTTGGAGAACTCCAGAGAACCAAAATTTCAGAAGGTATCTCAGTTTTTAGAGAGGAAGATTATGTCCTTTGGTCTCTATATTGCCCCAAGAATTTAACAGTGGTTTTGTCACTGGTGGGCAAAGTAGCTCATTTATTTAAATAACATTCTGATCTGAGCTCTTTCAACAGAGATTCTGTGATTGTGTCCAGGTTATTATCCATCAACCAGAGGATAGAAATTCCAATATAAAATATTAAAAAAAAAAAAAAAACTCACTCTAAATTCTAAAGCCAATAACAAAATTGTAGAGATTTTAATAAACATCTCCATTCTCAAAGACAATATTCCCTGGGAGCCAGAGGGAGGGAATTTATTTCAGCAAAGTGCCAAAATTGTTGATGGCCACGTAATAATAATACAAAGAATAACCACATGTCTTCTGGATGTCTTGATTCTAGGTTGGCAGCTAGCACCTATATATTAGAGATCTGTAAAAAAGAAACAAAACAAAACAAACCACCACCACAGGAGGGTAACGTGGTCATTGCTAGAAGTACCAGAGGAAACTATATTAGCCCTTTGCTAGTGGAAGTCAAATCTGTTCCTCTATTTTTCCCCAGTCATTTCTCCCCTTATTAGCTCCTGTGGTAATGGAGACAGATGAATCAAGACGAGTGGAACTTGGTTCAGCCCGTCCTCTTTTGCCCCCATTCACATTTGCCATAATAATGGCTGATACTCTAGAGTCTAGCAGAACATTTCTGGCAAAGTAACTGGTAAAAATTCCATAAGGATAAATAGTGCTGCCAAAAGTCATGTAGAAATAGCAGGTTGCTCGTGTGTGCCCTCATTAGTTACATTATATTTTTTAAATCCTCTTGCACAGAAGTATTTGTATTTTCTATTCAATGGAATTAATGTGATAGGTTGATACATAAATTTTACCTTAAGCCATTTCCAATGAAGTAAACCTTAAGACTAAAACACCAAAGAATATACACAACTGTATAAATTACATAGTCAATCAGATTTCTGGTAGAACGGTGACAAACAATTTAATGTATAAAATATATCTTGCTGTCTACCTGTCCTCAAAAGTCCTTTTATTAGAACACCAGCAAAATAGTTCAGGAACATGCAAAAAGTGGGAGAAAAAAGTCATTGCCTGTAAGAAAAGACTCTCAAAACCTTTCCCATATTTGTGAGCATCAGGAGGAAATATTAGTAGAGTTTGACATTTTGTGGAAATATTAGACTACATGGCGTTTAGTGAGACAAACATGCATTGCACAAGTGTAAGGAGAATCGTCACCATGAAAGCTTCCCTCCTGAGGACTGGCACTCAATAGCTCATTGCCACATGTGTGGCACTAAGCTGATTCTTATCACTATAACATCATACGTTGTATTTTAACATACAGTAACTCCTCGCTTAACGTTGTAGTTATGTTCCTGAAAAACTGCGACTTTAAGCGAAACGATGTTAAGCGAATCCAATTTCCCCATAAGAATTAATGTAAATGGCGGGGTTAGGTTCCAGGGAAATCTTTTTCACCAGACAAAGACTATATTATATATATACTGTATATATACACACACAGTGCAAGTTTTAAACAAACAATTTAATACGGTACACAGCAATGATGATTGTGAAGCTTGGTTGAGGTGGTGAAGTTAGAGGGTGGGATATTTCCCAGGGAATGCCTTGCTGCTAAATGATGAACTAGCACTCTCATAAGCCCTCCAGGGTTAATACATTGTTGTTAATGTAGCCTTCACACTCTACAAGGCAGCACAACTGGAGGGAGGGGAGACAGCATGGCAGACAGAGACAGAGACACACACCCTGTGTGTGGGTGAGAGAGAGATGCGCATTGCCCCTTTAAGTACGCTGACCCCACTCTAAGTACATTGCCTTTTTAAGTAGATCAGCAAGCTGAGACAGCAGCTGCTGCAGGCAAGCTCCCTCCGTCCTGAGTCGTGTCATGTCTCCCCCATGCTCTATTGAGATGGGGTAAGCGGGGGGCAGGAATAGGGAGGAGGGGGACACCCTGACATTAGCTCCCCCTCCCCCCCCTCCGCACAGCAAGCAGGAGGCTCCCAGAAGCAGCTCCAAGGCACAGGGCAGGAGCAGCACATGGCAGTGGTGGGAGGGACAACTGAACTGCCTGCAATTGATAGCCTGCTGGGTGGCTGCCACAGCACAGGGAGCTTAGGGGAGCTGATGGGGGCTGCCGGTCCACCCTGGTTCCAAGCCCTCACCAGCTGGCTTCAACGGGCTGCTCTTTCTGCAAGCAGTGGACAAAGCAGGCGGCTGCCACACAACGTTATAAGGGAGCACTGCGCAACTTTAAATGAGCATGTTCTCTAATTGATCAGCATCAAAACAACGTTAACCGGGACGACTTTAAGTGAGGAGTTACCGTATTAGATTGCTCCATCTGCACTATCTGATTGTGCTTTGTAACTGAATCACCAAACTTGGGATTCTTTAATTAATCAAGCAAAGGTACTATTGAGAGTATTAAAGCAACACATTTAAATTAGTCGAAGGGGGCAAACAGAAAGGACCACAAACTTCACTTTGCATTGGTATGCTAAATTTAAAAAAACCCTTTATTTCTTTCCCCATATGGAGAGACTTGCTGCTTTCTGTTATTCACACTAAGAAGTTGGAAGCCATCTATCTAATCTTAGGGGACTCAGCCAGCCTCACTGTTTTAGCACAGTGAACTATCATGTAGGGGACCAAGCCAAAATATAAACTGTGTTCTTCGCTCCCAAGCCAAGAGAAGCTGGGAGCACTGTGCAGGAGGCCCTGGGGAGAAGGAGTGCCTCATGATTCTGTGCAATAACTCCTCTAGCTGGTTCTAGAGTGACACTGAAAGCCTGTTTACAGGGCTACAGTTCTCACAAATGTCTTCCTTCAACAAAGCACTTGATCACATGCTCTGGGGCTTTGCTGAATCAGGGCCCATGTAATGACTTTAAGGGGCAGAGGAATAAATGTGAAACATGATGGGCAGTGGGAGAGTCCTTGGGATTCTAAGAGGAAAATAACCTAAACAATCATGGACCTTGGTCTCACATTGTTGAAGAAAACACATCCAACACAACTCATCCCTAAAATGACAAAAAACGCATTGATCACCACAAAGGATTACTTGTCGTACAACAGAACATGTTTCCCATGGCTACAAGGGTACATGCAAACCCAAACATGAGTTGAGAAATATAAACGCAAATCCATCCTTGTAACATGCCATGAGCAGTGTGATCTTGACTCTTCTGCAGAGGAATGGAGTCAGACTCTAAGGAGAGTCTTTCTTCTCACACCTAGGACGTAAGTCTGTTATTTGAGGATAGTGAGAGCCCTTATGTTCTTGCAAATGTACTTTCTGCAATAAGGCTATCATCCTGCATCTGGCATTAACCCTTCATTTGATTAAAACACAGCATTTCTAGCACTCCAGCATTAATCAGGCACTTTTGAGATATGCATGCTGTATACATTGGAATTAGTTATAGTACAACAGAATGAAAAGTCCCATATTGTATCAATCAGTGTAATGTGCCAGAGCCTGCAGCATGCACAGAAACAACATTTGACATCCTGCAATTCTGGTCAAACCAGTGGAAGTGCAGCAAAAAAGGGAGTTCAGAGTAAAATATTTTGGAGGATGTGATGCTGCTGTTAGTTGAACCTGATCCTGAATAATTGAAATCAAAGGTATTTATTTCAATGGGGGCTTCCACCATGAGTAGCAGTAGGGTTGCCAGTTTTGGTTGGATATATTCCTGGAGGTTCCATCACATGACATAATCTTTAATTAAAGATTAATCCCTTAATTCCTGGAGACTCCAGGATAATCCTGGAGTGTTGGCAACCCTAACTACAGATGACAATACAAACATGGTTGTGTAAGGGAGGAAAGCAGTGCATAACAAACAGCATTCTAATACCAAATAGATCCATTACCTGAGATCAGAAAGATCACATTTGTTTCCAGCGATGGCCATGACAATGTTTTCAGGACCATGTTCTTTTAATTCTTTTACCCATTTCTTCAAAGTATGAAATGAATCCTAAACCAAATACATAAAGAAACATCTAGCAGGATCTCCTTGATTGACAGACACAGTCATTTTTTTTTGAAGTTACAGGAAGGGCACACACAAAGCCCGCATGTGACAATGATTTCCAGGGACTCTCATTAAAAGGCATGATTGATGTTACTGAACCTCAGATCTAGCTCTCAACTGCATTAATCCATCAAGCCAAATTTTCTCCTTAGAAATGCATGTGCAGCTTCTGCTGAGATCAATGCGAGTTGTGCACGAATCTCTGAGGGAAAGGTATGGCCTAGCATTTGGGATATAATGTACATCCCACAATACTATGCAATACTTGAATATTGAACTTTCAGAGAATGAAAGTTGCTGCACAGAATTCTGAATAAAGATGACATGACTAAGTTCCACCTTCACAAGGTCTACAGACTTTCTGACCAACTATGAGTAATTTCAGTTAAAAATTATAACCTACGGTACTGCTATGCAGCCATGACCAGTGTCAGCTAGGGTTGCCAAATTTGGTTGACATATTCCTGGAGGTCTCATCATGTGACATAATTTTTAATTCCTGGAGACTCAAGGACAATCCTGGAGGGTTGGCAACCCTAATGCAGCAATGGGTCATTACACTAATGCATTGGTGAACAGAGCCAGGCCTTTACTGCTAAAAGTAAATCATTCAATTGGCAGGAGAGAAGAAACAGATAAGCAAAATATTGCAACCATTCATCCACTAATGCCTATTCTATAACTCAGCTTCATCATCTGGGATTTCTTTTAAAATCAAAATTTTATTCTTTGAATTTTAAGAGTAGCAATTTCTCATTCTCGCAGGGCAGGGCAAGGATCTCCAACTGGATGATATGTGAACAGGGCTACTTTATCAGCTGAAAATACACTTCCATTTCAATTAATAATGTTGAGCCAAAGATTATTTCATTGCTTTGTTTCAAAGTAAAGCAACCCCAGAAGAGTTCAGCACTCAGACTGCAAATGCAAGCTTGTAGCCGTATTTTTAAAAGATTAATTTCCCGTTTGTAAAATAGTTGATGTTTTTTAGTAGTAGATATTAGATATGGGAAAAATCCAGTAGGTCATCTTGTCCATCCCAAAGAGGCAAATTCAGAATTTTCCCCTGCAGTACAATTTCCGGAGTTTTGTGTTGTCCATTTTTAAATGACTCAGGGAATGGCGCTTCCGCCTCAACTTTGCCAATACATTAAGTCATTAACCAAACTATATATTATACAGGAATTGCAAACAGAAAGCATTACCTGTTTTGTGATATCATATACTATAACAGCTGCTGCTGATCCTCGGTAGTACATTGGTGCCAAGGAATGAAACTGTTAAAAGACCAACAAAACATCATAAATCAATTAAAGTTTTTGCATGGTGCCAGGTCACAAAGACATGCCAAGATTGCATCATATTCTTTCATCAGAGAGAGAGTGAGCTTCTTGAATGTTTGCCCAGTTTTAGTTTCAGTCAGACCTCTAAAAAGGGCTGTTCTTTATTCTGTTGGACTCATACAATTACCACATTGGGTTCTACATATTTTTCTTGCGGTGTTTTGGGTTCTTTTGCTTTTTTGTTTTTTGAAGCATAGTACATGATCTGTGTGAAAAAGGCGTTGGGGAGAAATTCAAGAACATAAGAACAGCCATACTGGGTCAGACCAATGGTCCATCTAGTCCAGTATTCTCTCTTCCAACAGTGGCCAATACCAGGTGCTCCAGAGAAAATAAAATGAACAGAACAGGCAATCATCGAGTGATCCATCCCCTGTTGTCCACTCCCAGCCTCTGGCAATGAGAAGCTAGGGACACACAGAGCATGGGGTTGCATCCCTCACTATCTTGGCTAAAAGCCACTGATGGACCTATTCTCCAGGAACTTATCTAGTTCTTTTTTTCAACCCGGTTATACATTTGGCCTTCGCAACATCCTCAGCAAGGAGTTCTACAGGTTAATTGTACGTTGTGTGAAGTACGTCCTTTGGTTTGTTTTCAATCTGCTGCTATTAATTTTATTTGGTGACCCTGGTTCTTGTTTTATGCGAAAGAGTAAACAACACTCCCTTATTCACTTTCTCCACCCCTTCACAATTACATAGACCTCTATCATATTACCTCGTAGTCATCTCTTTTCCAAAATGACAAATCCCAGTCTTTTTAATCTCTCCTCATACAGAAGCTATTCCATACCCCTAATCATTTTTGTTGTCCTTCTCTGTACCTTTTCCCATTCTAATATATACCTCTACCCCGATATGACGCTGTCCTCGGGAGCCAAAAAATCTTACTGCGTTATAGGTGAAACCGCGTTATATCGAACTAGCTTTGATTCGCCAGAGTGCAGGCCGCCACCCCCCCCCCCGAGCGCTGCTTTACCGCGTTATATCCGAATTCATGTTATATCGGGTCACGTTATATCGGGGTAGAGGTGTATCTTTTTTGAGATGAGGTGACCAGAACTGCAAGCAGTATTCCAGGTGTGAGTGTACCATGGCATTATATTTTCTGTCTTATTATCTATCCCTTTTCTAATGGTTCCTAGCATTCTGCTAGATTTTTTGACTGCTGCTGCACATTGAGCAGATGTTTTCAGAGAACTATCCACAATGATTCCAAAATCTTTCTTGTGTGGTGACAGTTAATTTAGATCCCATTATCTGATATGTATAGTTGGGATTATGTTTTCCAATGTGCATTACTTTGCATTTATCAACATTGAATTTCATCTGCCATTTCGTTGTCCAGTCACCCAGTTTTGTGAGATCCCTTTGTAACTCTTTGCAGTCTGCTTTGGACTTAACTATCTTGAGTAATTTTGTATTGTCTGCAAACTTTGCCACCTCACTGTTTACCCCTTTTCCAAATAATTTATGAATATGTTGGACAGCACTGGTCCCAGTACAGATTTTTGGGGGACACCACTATTTGCCTCTCTCCATTCTGAAAACTGACCATTTCTTCCTACCCTTTATTTCCTTTCTTTTAACCAGTTACTTCTCTCTTATCCCATGACTGTTTACTTTGTTTAAGATCCTTTGGTGAGGGACCTTGTCAAAGGCTTTCTGAAAGTCCAAGTACTCTTTTTCCACTGGATCATCCTTTTCCACATGTTTGTTGACCCCCTCAAAGGCATGATTTCCCTTTACAAAAGCCATGTTGACTCTTCCCCAACAAATTGTGTTCATTTATGTGTCTTGATAAATCTGTTCTTTACTACAGTTTCAACCAATTTGCCTGGTGTTGAAGTTAGGCTTACCAGCCAGTGATTGCCAGCATCACCTCTGGAGCCTTTTTAAAAAAATAGTGTCACATTCTCTAGTCATCTGGTACAGAAACTGATTTAAATGATAGGTTACATACCACAGTTAATAGTTCTGCAAATTCATATTTAAGTTTCTTCTGAACTCTTGGGTGAATACCATCTGGTCCTGGTGCCTTATTACTGTTTAATTTATCAATTTGTTCCAAAACCTCCTCTCTTGACACCTTAATCTGGGACAGTTCCTCAGATTTGTCATCTAAAAAGAATGGTGCAGGTATGGCAATCTCCCTCACATCCTCTGTAGTGAAGAGGGAGGCAAAGAATTCATTTAGCTTCTCCACAATGGTCTTATCTTCTTTGAGTGCTCCATTAGCACCTCGATCATCCACTGACCCCACTGATTGTTTGGCAGGCTTCCTGCTTCTGATGTACTTAAAACATTTGTGTCTTTGAAACTTTGTCTAATTACTCTTCAAATTCTTTTTTGGCCTTCTTAATTATACTTTTACACTTGACTTGCCAGAGTTTATGCTCCTTTCTATTTTCCTCAGTAGAATTTAACCTCCAATTTTTAAAGGACCTTTTTATCTCTAACCCCATCTTTTACTTTGTTGTTTAGGCATGGTGGCACTTTTCTGGTCTTCTTACTCTGTTTGTTAATTTGAGGTATACATTTAATTTGAGCCTCTATTATGGTGTTTTTTAAAAGTTTCCATGCAGCTTGCAGGCATACGACTTTAGTGACTATATCTTTTAACTTCCATTTATCTAGCTTCCTCATGTTTGCGTAGTTCCCCTCCCTAAAGTTCAGTGCTACTGTGGTGGGCTTCTTTGGTGTCTCTCCCGCTCCCCCCCAGAATGTTAAATTTAATTAAATTATGGTTTAATTTAGATTTAAGTGGAGGATAGGATTTATACCGGCAGTTCACAAAGGTGTAAATTCCAGCTATGGCCAACAGCATTCAACCCTGGGACTAAGCATGAGTAAAACATTTACAAGTCATTCCTATAAAAATAATAAATCAAAATGTATAGTTTATCATAAAATTGTAAATAGCTGACATACAGTTATCTTGTACTGCATCTATATTTAGAAGATACACGTTCTTTTAAATTTAATGTCTTTTTACTACAGCTTTAATTTCAAGGAACAGCTTTTTTAAAAGAAAGGAAAAATGGTTACTGTAAAACAGCTGTACGAAAACAGCCGCAGTTTTATTTGTTTACAAGAGTAAACACAAAGTAGCTGGTTTAGAAATTTAAAGCTTATGCTAGTACAGAGAAAGGAAACCTTTTTGCTTATTCACCTAAGACTGATTCTTATATATAACTAAAATAATCTTACTTGAAAAATCTGTTCAGTCTTTTTAATCTCATTGTAGCTACAAAAGAATGTATTAGTTACTTATCCAGCATCATCTTGCAAATTACTGCTTGTTCACTCTCCCAGGTGAGTAATTTTTTTGACATGCAAGTAAGACACCATTAATTTTTTCATGATCAACATTCATCACGGTCAAGGGCAGACAAGCCAATTTTGTGCCTTGGCTGGAAAATTTGCAAGGTTAATATAATACAAAGGTGTATATAGAACTTTAAAAACACATAAAAGGACAAGAAGATCTGATTTTTCCAGTTTCCTGTGTCTTGTACCATTTACACTTGTAAAAACTGAGTAGAGAGGAAGTATTGTCCAGTGGTTCAGGTACAGGCCTAGCCTGTGAAAGACCTAGGTTCAATTCTGTAAAATGGGGAGAAGAGCACTTTCCTACCTCACAGGGGTGTTGTGAGGATAAATAAGTTAAAGATTGCAAAGTGCTTTGAGATCTATTGATGAAAAGCGCTATATAAGAATAAGCACTATTAGCAGGATAGATGGGAATTTTTTGTTGAATATTTTTTTTCAAATGCCAATTTGTCAAAACCAAAACTTTTTGCAGGAACATATTGGTTTTCATACAAAGGTTTCTCAGGTTCAGCATAATATTTCTGGGGGGTGGAGGGGGCTGGAAAGAGAGATGGAGAGAGAAATCCTAAAATAGCAAATAGCCCAGTGGTTTAGGCACTCACCTGGTTCTCGCACATTCCAGGGGAGTGTCCTAATCACTGAGCTATTGGCTATTTTGGGGTGGGTGGGGCTCTGGGTTTTTTTGGGTTTTTTTTGTTTTTTGTTTTTTGTGTGTGTGAAAAAAAGCCTCAAAAGGTCTCAGTTTCATTTAGATGCAGAATGAAAACAAATTTTTATTTTTTCCACAAATGGAACTCCTGTTTTCCAGCCAGCCCTAGTGCAGAGTTGATGTAAAATTTTGATTTGGTCAGTTTTTATATTCTCTTTGCACAGTTGTAAACAACTACACCATGTTCAAGGCAGTGGAGGATCAGGCCCAAATTCTGTGCCCCAAAGATTTTCCAATCTGATACAACATACAGGTGTCTGGAGGGAAGATGAGAGTAACAGATGAGGGTGTTGTATGGTCTTCTACAGATTGGAATATTTGTTTTCATGTTTTCTGTATCTCCCCTCCACAGTTTTCTTGAAACTGCTGCAGAATTTCCAGTCTGTTTATTTTTTCCCCATGAAAAAACACTAGAGCGTCTCAGAAACTAGGGGGGCCTTGTTGCAGAATGTAGGGCCAGCTTGACAGAGAATACACAAGGCCTTGTTGGTCTGAATCGCTGTGGAAAATCTACATGTCTGTATACATGCTGATTCATTTTTTCTAGATAACAATATATGCATAAGCTTGGAAACAGTTCTTGGTTAGTAGTCAATACACTAGTTCCAGAAGCCAGGTAGTTAATCTCAAGTGTTTAGCATTCCAGAAAATTAGCCCAGGAGACACAGCGGGAACCCGGATCATCTTCTTCTTTCATAAGTGTCACAAGTCAGTATCTAAGGCTTGGTCTACACTTACCCCCCAAGTCGAAGTAAGGTACGCAAATTCAGCTACGTGAATAACGTAGCTGAATTCGACATACCTTACTTCGAACTTACCGCGGTTCAGACGCGGTCCACACGCAGCAGGCAGGCAGGCTCCCCGTCGACTCCGCGGTACTCCTCTCGTTG